GCTCGCTGCACAAACGGTTTCAAATCAGTTGGCCTCCACTTCCATGCCCCCCCTTCTCCCCCACAACATACCCCGCCCCACCATCCCCTGAACCCTGGGCAGAAAAAAATTCATTGAAATGCATTTCCCAAATGCTCCACAGGATATACATTCACTTTGTATGCACCAAAAGCTTTGTAAACCTAGATATTACCTTGTAATGGGCATCACTGTTGTCGTCATCGTCAGGTCGTAGAGATTCTTGTAATTGGCATCCCAAAGGTTCTTATGGGCATCACTGGGGTCGTAGAGGTTGTTGTAATGGTGATCACTGGGGTCGTAAAGGTTCTTAGGGGCATCACTGGGGTTGTAGTGGTCCTTGGAATTAGCATCACTGGGTCATAGAGATTCTTGTAATGGTGATCACTGGGGTCATAGAAGTTCTTAAGAGCATCACTGGGGTCGTAGATGGTCTTGTAATTGGCATCACTGGGTCATGGAGGTTCTTGTGACGGTGATCACTGGGGTCATAGAGGTTCTTCGGGGCATCAGTGGAGTTGTAGAGGTTATTATTGGCATCACTGGGGTCATGAAGAAGGTTCTTATGGGAATCGCTGGAGTCATAGAGGTTGTTGTAATGGTGATCACTGGGATCATAGAGGTTGTTGTAATGGTGATCACTGGGATCATAGAGGTTGTTGTAATGGTGATCACTGGGATCATAGAGGTTGTTGTAATGGTGATCACTGGGATCATAGAGGTTGTTGTAATGGTGATCACTGGGATCTTAGAGGTTGTTGTAATGGTGATCACTGGGATCATAGAGGTTGTTGTAATGGTGATCACTGGGATCTTAGAGGTTGTTGTAATGGTGATCACTGGGATCATAGAGGTTGTTGTAATGGTGATCACTGGGATCTTAGAGAGGTTGTTGTAATGGTGATCACTGGGATCATAGAGGTTCCTATAGCCATCACGGGGGTAATAAAGGTTCTTATGGGCATCACTCGGATCATTCCATAAAAAGTGTTCACTTTATGCGCATATATCTGCCATTAACACTTCCACTCTCTGACCTTCACCTTGCTAAGCACATTTTTTTTATATTAGGGGATGGTTATATCCCATGTCATTGTTTCTTTGTGTCTCGCCATGTTGTAGATATTTCCCTTAACATCTTGTCCAAGAGACTTACTGGAAGCGGGGAAAACTTCCTTCTTAGTTGTCCCTGGAACAGGTGTCCCCATGTTCTAGTGATAGCTGTAAAATGGTGATTTTTCCATGACTTTCTGACCCCCTGACCAACAGAGAGGGGCCACCGACAACAACAAAAACCTCAAAATATAAAAAAACACAACAGAAGCCCCAAAAAAGGCCAAAACACTTTACTGGTTCATAATATGATCATGTAAAAACATCAAAATAAGTGCTTAATTCCCTCTTAAATTCTATAAAACTAGACAAAATCATTTATAAATAACTGGTGCAAATTCACTCCTATTATATGCCCCCTAGTGGTCAAAAACCGTGAAAATTCAAATACAAATGATAACACTTTATCTGTGCAAAGTGATAAGTGTATCCAATTACATAAACTAAATCAAATAAACAGTCCAAAAAAACTTGTGATGCCCCACTGTGCAAATAATAAGTGTTCAATACACCAGCGTTTTTCAACCACTGTGCCGCGGCACACTAGTGTGCCGTGAGATATTGTCTGGTGTGCCGTGGGAAAAATTCCAATTTCATCTGTAACATGTGGCTTCGGCTCACAAATAGACCAATCATTAGAATCTAATGATTCAGTGGTCGGCAAGCCGCGGCTCGCGAGCCACATGCGGCTCTTTACCCCAGTCTAATGCGGCTCTTCTGTGTGCCGGGCGCCTGCTCCCCTCCCTCCTCTCGGTCGGCCGCTCCCCTGCCTCCTCTCGGTTGGCAGCCCCAAAAGTCCGCGCGGACCTTTTAATCCGGCTTGCGGATGTGGCTGTCAGGATGTGTGTAGGCGGGGCAGCGTGCCGAACGTGAGGGGAGGGGAGCTAGGCTCCTCTCACAGTCCGCCCTGAAGACCCGAACGGCGCGGGAAGACAGCGAGAGGAACGCAAAAGGTAAGTGAATTGACACGGGGGACTTGGCTTACTAGAAGGGGGGGGGGGGGAATAGTACTGTGGGGGATGAAATACTATATGAGGGATGAATTACTTTATGAGGGATGAAATACTATATGGGGGGATGAAATACTATATGGGGGATGAATTACTATATCAGGGATGAATTACTATATGAGGGATGAAATACTATATGGGGGGATGATGAAATACTATATGGGGGGATGAATTACTATATGAGGGATGAAATACTATATGGGGGGATGAAATACTATATGAGGGATGAAATACTATATGGGGGATGAATTACTATATGAGGGATGAATTACTGTATGAGGGATGAAATACTATATGGGGGGATGAAATACTATATGAGGGATGAAATACTATATGAGGGGATGAAATACTATATGGGGGGATGAAATACTATATGGGGGATGAAATACTATATGAGGGATGAAATACTATATGAGGGATGAAATACTATATGAGGGATGAATTACTATATGAGGGATGAAATACTATATGGGGGGATGAAATACTATATGGGGGGATGAAATACTATATGGGGGGATGAAATACTATATGAGGGATGAATTACTATATGAGGGATGAAATACTATATGGGGGGATGAAATACTATATGGGGGGATGAAATACTATATGAGGGATGAATTACTATATGGGGGGATGAAATACTATATGAGGGATGAATTACTATATGAGGGATGAAATACTATATGAGGGATGAAATACTATATGGGGGGATGAAATACTATATGAGGGATGAAATACTATATGGGGGGATGAAATACTATATGAGGGATGAAATACTATATGAGGGATGAATTACTATATGGGGGATGAAATACTATATGAGGGATGAAATACTATATGGGGGATGAAATACTATATGGGGGATGAAATACTATACGGGGGATGAAATACTATACGGGGGATGAAATACTATACGAGGGATGAAATACTATACGGGGGATGAATTGCTATGGGGGATGAATTACTATATGGGGGATGAATTACTATGGGGGATGAATTACTATATGGAGGATGAATTACTATATGGGGGATGAATTACTATATGGGGGATGAATTACTATGGGGGATGAATTACTATGGGGGATGAATTACACTATGGGGGATGAATTACACTATGGGGGATGAATTACTATATGGGGGATGAATTACTATGGGGGATGAATTACTATATGGGGGATGAATTACTATATGGGGGATTAATTACTATGGGGGATGAATTACTATATGGGGGATTAATTACTATGGGGGGGATGAATTACTATGGGGGATGAATTACTATATGGGGGATTAATTACTATGGGGGATGAATTACTATGGGGGATGAATTACTATATGGAGGATGAATTACTATGGGGGATGAATTACTATATGGGGGATTAATTACTATGGGGGATGAATTACTATATGGGGGATTAATTACTATGCTTACTATGGGGGGAATATTACTATACTTACTATGGATGACACATACACATCATTCATCTACTCTTGGTCCGGCCCCCCCGGGTCCAATTATAAAATACTTTATTATTTCATAATAAAGTAATTATAAAATAATTTCTTTGTGTTTGATTCCTATTCAAGAGAATTACTTTATATATAGTCAATATAGGCACAGAGGTAAATTTTTTTAACATTTTCTAATGGTGGTGTGCCTCGTGATTTTTTTCATGAAAAAAGTGTGCCTTTGCACAAAAAAGGTTGAAAAACACTGCAATACACAGTGATTATAACTTCACTCCATGCTGCAAACGTGCTCTTCGTGATACTCTGATGTGACTCCCCCCCTGGATTTAGCCAAAATGCCCCCTCACCTTCCACATTCAACCCTTCCGGGTCACAAAGCCTTAAATGTATAGTATCTCAGCCAGGATTTCAAAAACAAATGAACACTCACATATCATCCAACAGAAGGAAGCAGTTTCCCATGTGCTATGGGTGTACTAAGGTGTACCAAAATGGTCCCAAACCCGGAACTGGATATGTCACCCCTTAACCGGAAATGCGTCTACACGTTGCGCCACGATCACGTGGCTTTTTCAGGATCAGGATTTTCACGGTTTTTGACCACTAGGGGGCATATAATAGGAGTGTGAATTTGCACCAGTTATTTATAAATGATTTTGTATAGTTTTATAGAATTTAAGAGGGAATTAAGCACTTATTTTGAATTTTTTCACAATATTATTGATGTAAAAAGGGTTTGTATACACTATATAAGTTGAGTGCTTCATCACAATATATATAATTTTTTTTTTTGCACATATCCTAAGGTATAGGGAAAAAGTTGATAGCAGCTGACTTAAAGTTAAAGGTTCTGTGGAGCGCAGGGGATTCTTCCTATATGTAAAAACATCCAACACGTTTCAGGGGGCTGAACACCCCCCCCCCCAATCCCATCGAGGCTGCAGAAGAAATATAAAAAATATATTTATCAATAAATATTATAAATAAAAAGTAATAAATAGAAATACAAATTTTAAAGATTTGTACTTTTTCACATTCTGGCTTGTAGCTCCTGTTGTGTTTTTATACTCTGAGTCACTTTCAGGGTACCCGCAGAGAGGAGCCTTGTTCATGTGAGCTCATCCAATAATTATGTTCTCTACATTCTTTTGACCTGAATATTTGTTGAAGTCCTAGGACCTCTTAGATATATCTTCCTGGAACAATAAAAACTAAACAGAGACCCTCACCACTCTATCCAAAACTAAAAAAACAACGTTTTGGATAGACGTACACTTTAATTATCTGAAATGATCAGAATCACCCATTTACAATCTCTCAGTATAGGGGAACTCCTGCTAAAACCAAAGGGAATGGGTCAGTGGGAAGAATGTCCCTTACATTGGTGATCGGTGGGAAGAATGTCCCTTACATTGGTGGTCAGTGGGAAGAATGTCCCTTACATTGGGGGTCAGTGGGAAGAATGTCCCTTACATTGGGGGTCAGTGGGAAGAATGTCCCTTACATTGGTGGTCAGTGGGAAGAATGTCCCTTACATTGGGGGTCAGTGGGAAGAATGTCCCTTACATTGGAGGTCAGTGGGGGGGGGAAGAATGTCCCTTACATTGGGGGGTCAGTGGGAAGAATGTCCCTTACATTGGTGGTCAGTGGGAAAGAATGTCCCTTACATTGGTGGTCAGTGGGAAGAATGTCCCTTACATTGGGGGTCAGTGGGAAGAATGTCCCTTACATTGGGGGTCAGTGGGAAGAATGTCCCTTACATTGGTGGTCAGTGGGAAGAATGTCCCTTACATTGGGGGTCAGTGGGAAGAATGTCCCTTACATTGGAGGTCAGTGGGAAGAATGTCCCTTACATTGGGGGTCAGTGGGAAGAATGTCCCTTACATTGGTGGTCAGTGGGAAGAAATGTCCCTTACATTGGGGGTCAGTGGGAAGAATGTCCCTTACATTGGTGGTCAGTGGGAAGAAACGTCCCTTACATTGGGGGTCAGTGGGAAGAATGTCCCTTACATTGGGGGTCAGTGAGAAGAATGTCCCTTACATTGGGGGTTAGTGGGAAGAATGCCCCTTACATTGGGGGTCAGTGGGAAGAATGTCCCTTACATTGGTGGTGAGTGGGAAGAATGTCCCTTACATTGGGGGTCAGTGGGAAGAATGTCCCTTACATTGGGGGTCAGTGGGAAGAATGTCCCTTACATTGGTGGTCAGTGGGAAGAATGTCCCTTACATTGGTGGTCAGTGGGAAGAATGTCCCCTTACATTGGGGGTCAGTGGGAAGAATGTCCCTTACATTGTTGGTCAGTGGGAAGAATGTCCCTTACATTGGTGATCAGTGGGAAGAATGTCCCTTACATTGGGGGTCAGTGGGAAGAATGTCCCTTACATTGGTGGTCAGTGGGGAGAATGTCCCTTACATTGGGGGTCAGGGGGAGGAATGTCCCTTACATTGGGGGTCAGTGGGAAGAATGTCCCTTACATTGGGGGTCAGTGGGAAGAATGTCCCTTACATTGGGGATCAGTGGGAAGAATGTCCCTTACATTGGGGGTCAGTGGGAAGAATGTCCCTTACATTGGGGGTCAGGGGGAGGAATGTCCCTTACATTGGTGATCGGTGGGAAGAATGTCCCTTACATTGTGGGTCAGGGGGAGGAATGTCCCTTACATTGGGGGTCAGTGGGAGGAATATCCCTTACATTGGGGGTCAGTGGGAAGAATGCCCCTTACACTGGTGATCAGTGGGAAGAATGTCCCTTACATTGGGGGTCAGGGGGAAAAATGTCCCTTACATTGGGGGTCAGTGGGAAGAATGTACCTTACATTGGGGGTCAGTGGGAAGAATGTACCTTACATTGGGGGTCAGTGGGAAGAATGTACCTTACATTGGGGGTCAGTGGGAAGAAAGAATGTACCTTACATTGGGGTCAGTGGGAAGAATGTACCTTACATTGGTGGTCAGTGGGAAGAATGTACCTTACATTGGGGGTCAGTGGGAAGAATGTCCCTTACATTGGGGGTCAGTGGGAAGAATGTACCTTACATTGGTGGTCAGTGGGAAGAATGTCCCTTACATTGGTGGTCAGTGGGAAGAATGTCCCTTACATTGGTGATCAGTGGGAAGAATGTCCCTTACATTGGGGATCAGTGGGAAGAATGTCCCTTACATTGGGGGTCAGGGGGAGGAATGTCCCTTACATTGGTGGTCAGTGGGAAGAATGCTCCGTACATTGGAGGTCAGTGGGAAGAATGATCCTTACATTGGGGGTCAGTGGGAAGAATGTCCCTTACATTGGGGGGTCAGTGGGAAGAATGTACCTTACATTGGGGGTCAGTGGGAAGATTGTCCCTTACATTGGGGGTCAGTGGGAAGAATGTACCTTACATTGGTGGTCAGTGGGAAGAATGTCCCTTACATTGGGGGTCAGTGGGAAGAATGTACCTTACATTGGGGGTCAGTGGGAAGAATGTACCTTACATTGATGGTCAGTGAGAAGACCGTCCCTTACATTGGGGATCAGTGGGAAGAATGTCCCTTACATTGGTGGTCAGTGGGAAGACCGTCCCTTACATTGGGGATCAGTGGGAAGAATGTCCCTTACATTGGTGGTCAGTGGGAATAATGTCCCTTACATTGGGGGTCAGTGGGAAGAATGTCCCTTACATTGATGGTCAGTGGGAGGAATGTCCCTTACATTGGGGTCAGTGGGAAGAATGTCCCTTACATTGGTGGTCAGTGGGAAGAATGTCCCTTACATTGGGGGGTCAGTGGGAAGAATGTCCCTTACATTGGTGGTCAGTGGGAAGAATGTCCCTTACATTGATGGTCAGTGGGAAGAATGTACCTTACATTGGGGGTCAGTGGGAAGAATGTACCTTACATTGGGGGTCAGTGGGAAGAATGTCCCTTACATTGGTGGTCAGTGGGAAGAATGTCCCTTACATTGGGGGTCAGTGGGAAGAATGTCCCTTACATTGGTGGTCAGTGGGAAGAATGTCCCTTACATTGGGGGTCAGTGGGAAGAATGTCCCTTACATTGGTGGTCAGTGGGAAGAATGTCCCTTACATTGGTGGTCAGTGGGAAGAATGTCCCTTACATTGGGGGTCAGTGGGAAGAATGTCCCTTACATTGGTGGTCAGTGGGAAGAATGTCCCTTACATTGGTGGTCAGTGGGAAGAATGTCCCTTACATTGGTGATCAGTGGGAAGAATGCCCCTTACATTGGTGGTCAGTGGGAAGAATGTCCCTTACATTGGTGGTTCAGTGGGAAGAATGTCCCTTACATTGGGGGTCAGTGGGAAGAATGTCCCTTACATTGGTGATCAGTGGTAAGAATGTCCCTTACATTGGGGGTCAGTGGGAAGAATGTCCCTTACATTGGGGGTCAGTGGGAAGAATGTCCCTTACATTGGTGATCAGTGGGAAGAATGTCCCTTACATTGGTGGTCAGTGGGAAGAATGTTCCTTACATTGGTGGTCAGTGGGAAGAATGTCCCTTACATTGGGGGTCAGTGGGAGGAATGTCCCTTACATTGGGGGTCAGTGGGAAGAATGTCCCTTACATTGGGGGTCAGTGGGGAAGAATGTCCCTTACATTGGGGGTCAGTGGGAAGAATGTCCCTTACATTGGGGGTCAGTGGGAAGAATGTCCCTTACATTGGTGGTCAGTGGGAAGAATGTCTCTTACATTGGGGGTCAGTGGGAAGAATGTCCCTTACATTGGGGGTCAGTGGGAAGAATGTCCCTTACATTGGTGGTCAGTGGGAATATGCCCTTTATAATGGTGGTGTGAATGCCACCCTAGCAGAAACAGAACAATGGTTTCACACCTCCCACTCTTTCAAGTAGTGTTGGCCCCATAGCTATGGAGGCATCATCAAATGGGAGGTCAATTAGTCCCAGCTCAAGGAACACCTAATAGTGGAACCCTAGGGTTCCATGGAACAGTGGTTGAGAGTGGCTGATCAAGAACACATGTACCCAGAGGCACAAGACAATGCCTGAAATTATCCTGATTGGATGATGGACCTCATACCTGAACACCACAAGAAGGTCTTGAAGATCCCAGCCAACCAATCTCAATGGAAATACTAATCATCATCAATGAGTCCTTATTTCTGTACAGTTGCTGCTGTTTTCCTTTAGAATAGCCATCAGCTCACATGGTCAGGTACTCGGTGCATGCATGGAGCCCCCCCCCCCCCCCCCCCCCCCTCTTAGAGGCAGAGAGGTATGATTAGTAGATTCCCGTCAGTGGTATGTCCTCCCACCACCAGGAACATTTCTCTGATTATGTGTAATGACAAAGCCTTTCAAAGCCTCCAAATGACTTGGGTGAGCCGTGATTGAGGAGATGGAGGAGTCGTGACGATCGTTGCTTTGTCGTGGAGATTGTAGAAATGCTTAAAGTGCCTCTGAGAAGTCTCAGCTTGATTGCTGAAGACCACCGTCATTGGTTGGAGTGATGCTTTATCAGTCCTCATGTCAGGGCACTTAGAGAGTTTTATTGTCGGCTCCTGATTGCACCGAGGTTGGAAAATCTTGGAGCGGGTGTATTAGACTTTTTAAAGCTGAACTCTGGGATCTGGGGAAAAAAAAAAAAAAAAACTTCCCTCACAGTGGGGCCCCCCACCATGCAAGGGTTGAAGTTCGGTCTAGGGGTAGTACTTACCTTTTGCCTTGCTTCAGCAAGTGTTCCCGTTTATAGGTTGGCTCAGGGACGGAATGACCAAGCTTTCGGGCACTGCCCGAGGGCCCAGGCTCAGTAGGGGGCCCCATGAGATGCCCCTGATACCTTTCATTGGCTTTTTCGGGTGTGTGCGAGGACACAGGGGCCCCATGATTCCCTATTGCCCAGGGGCCCCATGAGTTGTCAGTGCACCCCTGGGTTGGCTCTCCTTCTGTACTATGCAGGGCCCTTGGTCTTGCATTGTACTTGATGGCGTACAACCTCTGGCTGGAGATTGTTTACGCACAGGCCTCTCTTGTCACCTTTGCACCGCGATGGCCGGCTGCCGGTGGGGAATCTCCGTCCGGGACCTGGTGACTGGCGGCAGGCAGGACGGCGCGCACGTGCGCTCCCTACTCGGAAATGCAAATCACGTAAATATACGTGACTTTGCACAGCCCTGCCACCCTGTAGAAGTATTTGTGCTATAGGGCGGCGGGCAAGAAGTTAAAGAGAACCTGTCACCAAATAATCAGCGCGCATGGGGGACTTTTTGTTCCCTATGTGATGGAAAAAAAGTGAATTAAAAAAAATATATATATGTAAAAAAATAAAAGTTCCACCCAAACACATAAAACCCCCAAGTCAAATTTTGGGTTGTCCCCAGAAAAGTAAGAGGGGAAATCTTCCAATGGGGACACTAGTTCTGGTGACCTGGGGGGTTCCGCAAGAGATCCTTTTAATTTGCAGGGATTTCCCCTCACTTCCTGTTTTGGCTATGGGACAGGAAGTGAAGGGAAATCCCTGCAAATTAAAAGAATCTCTTGACAGAGGAGCGACCTGTGTGCAAACAATCTCCAGCCAGAGGTTGTACGCCATCAAGTATCTCCCCAATGGGACACAGATGGCAAAAAATAAACTGACGGGGGTTCTAACCCTCCATTACTCTATCCAAAATTATAAAGAAAAAAGTTCTGCCCAGAGTTCTACTTCAAACTAATCTTCAGGTCTAAAATGACTTTATAAACATGTATGGACGCTCCTGAATCTTCCTGTTTGTTCTCAGGCCTGTGGTTGCTAAGGAGAGGAGATGGTTGCTATGCAAAAACTTTGTGTTGCGTGTTTCCATGTGTTCTGGTTAGAGTCTATGGGGAGAAAAAATAAAAATGGATGTAGTTTTCCACTCTTTAAGGCGGTGAGGTGTGATTGGGGAGCACTGCATATATTGGGGGTCATTGTATATATAGGGGGTCATTGTATATATTGGGGGTCATGGTATATATTGGATTCATGGTATATATTATGGAAGTCATTGTATATATAGGGGGTCATTGTATATATTGGAGTCATGGTATATATTGGATTCATGGTATATATTGGGGGTCATTGTATATATAGGGGGTCATTGTATATATTGGGGGTCATGGTATATATTGGGGGTCATTGTATATATTGGGGGTCATTGTATATATTGGGGGTCATTGTATATATTGGAGTCATGGTATATATTATAGAAGTCATTGTATATATTGGGGGTCATGGTATATATTATGGAAGTCATTGTATATATTGGGGGTCATTGTATATATTGGGGGTCATTGTTTATATTGGGGGTCATTGTTTATATTGGGGGTCTTTGTATATATTGGGGGTCATGGTATATATTATGGAAGTCATTGTATATATTGGGGGGTCATTGTATATATTGGGGGTCATGGTATATACTGGGGTCATGGTATATATTGGAGGTCATTGTATATATTTGGGGGTCATTGTATATATTGGGGGTCATTGTTTATATTGGGGGTCATTGTTTATATTGGGGGTCATGGTATATATTGGAGTCATGGTATATATTATGGAAGTCATTGTATATATTGGGGGTCATGGTATATATATGGGGTCATGGTATATATTGGAGGTCATTGTATATATTGGGGGGTCATTGTATATATTGGAGGTCATGGTATATATTGGAGGTCATGGTATATATTGGAGTCATTGTATATATTATGGAATTCATTGTATATATTGGGGGTCATGGTATATATTGGGGGGTCATTGTATATATTGGGGGTCATGGTATATATTTGGGTCATGGTATATATTTGGGTCATGGTATATATTGGGGGTCATGGTATATTTGGAGGTCATGGTATATATTGGGGGTCATGGTATATATTGGGGGTCATTGTATATATTTGGGTCATTGTATATATTGGAGGTCATTGTATATATTGGGGGTCATGGTATATATTGGGGGTCATTGTATATATTGGGGGTCATGGTATATATTGGAGGTCATGGTATATATTGGAGGTCATGGTATATATTGGGGGTCATGGTATATATTGGGGGTCATGGTATATATTGGAGTCATTGTATATATTGGGGTCATGGTATATATTGGAGTCATTGTATATATTGGAGGTCATGGTATATATTGGGGGTCATGGTATATATATGGGGGTCATGGTATATATTGGGGGTCATGGTATATATTGGGGGTCATGGTATAAGTTGGGGGGTCATTGTATATACTGGAGGTCATGTTATATAATAGGTTCATGGTATATTCTGGGGGTCATTGTGTATAATGGGGGGTCTCTGACCTTCGGTGACATGAGTCCTGGTGGGGGAATCTCAGGAATGAAGTATACAGAGGATTCCCCTCATGAATGTACACTCCCCGCCATCCCCGGGGTGAGGTGATGATGGAGAGCGGTGAGGTGATGATGGGGAGTGGTGAGGTGATGCTGAGGAGCGGTGAGGTGATGATGGAGAGCGGGGTGAGGTGATGCTGAGGAGCGGTGAGGTGATGATGGAGAGCGGTAAGGTGATGATGGGGAGCGGTGAGGTGATGATGAGGAGAGGTGAGGTGATGATGGGGAGCGGTGAGGCGATGATGGGGGGCGGTGAGAGGCGATGATGAGGAGCGGTGAGGCGATGATGGAGAGCGGTGAGGTGATGATGGGGAGCGGTGAGGTGATGATGGAGAGCGGTGAGGTGATGATGGGGAGCGGTGAGGTGATGATGGAGAGCGGTGAAGTGATGATGGGGAGCGGTGAGGTGATGAGGAGCGGTGAGGTGATGATGAGGAGCGGTGAGGTGATGATGAGGAGCGGTGAGGTGATGATGAGGAGCGGTGAGGTGATGATGGGGAGCGGTGAGGTGATGATGGGGAGCGGTGAGGTGATGATGGAGAGCGGTGAGGTGATGATGAGGAACGGTGAGGTGATGATGAGGAGCAGGGAGGTGATGATGGGGAGCGGTGAGGTGATGATGGGGAGCGGTGAGGTGATGATGGGGAGCGGTGAGGTGATGATGGGGAGCGGTGAGGTGATGATGGAGAGCGGTGAGGTGATGATGGAGAGCGGTGAGGTGATGATGGGGAGCGGTGAGGTGATGATGGAGAGCGGTGAGGTGATGATGAGGAACGGTGAGGTGATGATGAGGAACGGTGAGGTGATGATGAGGAGCGGGGAGGTGATGATGGGGAGCGGTGAGG